GCTGTTTTTCTTGTCGAGACTGGCGCGGTGGAACCCAGGATGATGACGCACAAAAACATTCTCCACGTCGCAGTGCCAGCGCAACCGATTGCGTTGGCGTTGTCCCCCTTCCAGTCCCCATACAGTTGATAGCGACACTTGTTCGCCTGGTATTGGTTGATTTTGGTCGTGTAGTGGCAGCTCGCAGAAGCTCCCGCTGCTTGGACTTCACGTAATTTTGTGGAAACAATCCATGATGCGCCTCATTAATACGTAAAAAGCTCAGAGGATCCCCTGCAGTCTCAAGTTGTGTGTAAAATAGTCGAGCGCTTTGAGATATATAAGAGAGGGCTCCCACTAAGTGCGAATGTATTGGAACATATCAGGTGGTGCACACAGCGAAAATTTGCAGAGTTCGCCTTCTCGAACCAGTATCAGCCCATTCACAGACTGGCCTTCACAGCACACGACCTTGGAGCCGATGACCTTGACCAATGTAGACTGATACACAGAATTTTTTCTGTAAGAAAAAAATATTGATTAGACTAATAGCGGACGTACTCGGTTTGCAAGGTTGCGGATATCTACTACGGGGATATTATTGAACGCTGGGGTCATGGAGAGGAATCGAGCGGCCGGTCTCGCTAGGAAAATAAAACGATATTTAAAAAAAAATATTTACTATTGTAGGATTGAGATTACTTACCTCGACTTCGTGTTGTGCACGGTCAATTCGACTCCACTGATGCCACGATAAAGCCCCTATCACACACGTTGTTGTCGTAATTGCTGAATACGCTCTACAGTAATATTTGATTAGCAGTCAAATATTTTTAATAGCGATTGTTTCTTACCGTGGAGCGTTTGTAATCCTCCCTTGGTGACCAAAAATATCTCCGTGCTCAAGCTCACAGAGCTCTAATTACGTTTGCTTCCAGTCCGAATTAACGGGTGTTTGATAAGTATTCCATGGAGGTTCCCACGTGACGTCGGACGCACCCATTTCAGCTTCATCCAGCTCTTCCTGCACTTTAAAGCGCTCTTCAGAGCTCTCTAGGTACTCTGCCGACAGCTGAAACATTCTACCAGCAGTCGTTGAGACAGATACTCTTCCTTGAAAAATAAAATACAATGACTTATCATGTGGAGCTTCCAACCACATTTCTTTTACATAAAAAAGTGGGTTTTGGGGGGGGGAAGAGATTTCTCTGCGGGACTAATTAGCACAAGATCCACACACAAAAAAAGTGGACAAATTTGCGGGTTTAATTCACCGCGCGCAAACTAAGAATCTTTTCTGCATCAAATCGACGAGGTATTGAAGGTCACTGTCGCTTCTTTCAGACGGTGGAGGTCGAGCAATCTCCAGACTGCGCTGAAGCGTCCAAGCTGTCAGTGCATCTTCAGTCTCATCAGGTTCGCTTTGACACTCGTTTGTGTCTTGGTTTGTGTCAGGTTCGATCTCCAATCCACGTGCTATTTCATCGTTATGTACACTTTGTTGAGGGATTCTTTTCTTCGAAGATGTGGCACGCTTCACGGTGTTGTACAGGTGCTCAGCAGTGTACATCACACTCTCGTCTGCCAAGGTAGTAGAGCCCCCTGAGTTCTTTTGAACAAGGTCGTAATCTTGTGCGGCCTTCTCGAAATCTCCATTCTTACGGTACGCTGCTGCTCGCTGTCGATAAAATGCACTTGGGGTTGATCCTCTATTGGACTCTTTTTTGTCTTTGCTGACACTAATCGCACGTGAAAAATAGTCGACAGCTTGAGCTACTTTATCGACACGCATACACAAATTGCCCATATTATAGTACGCAAAGGCATGTTGTCCACCGGAAAGTCTCTGAACTTGCTTGTAAGCTGCTAACGCGGGTCCGATTTGTCCTGTTCGTTCTAAACACACCGCGAGCTGGAATTTCGCCTCAATTTCGCTCGGTTTTGCAGTCGATAAACTCGTGTAAAACTTGATAGCTCGGTCATAATCTCCATTTGCTCGTGCCTGGAAAGCTCTCGAGCGCAGACGTTCTGTAGCATTCATCGCGGCTGTGGAGACGACACGAGCTCGGGACAATAACTCCATAGTTCTAGTTTCTACTCCATCACGATTGGGGTGACCATCCCGACCAAGTTGCCCTCGAGACTCCACACTTCGACCCATAAAACCGGTTTCCGTATTCCCATATCTGCTCTCTGGGTTTGCTTTCCGCTCCAAAGGTTCTCTCTGGGATCCTCTAAAAAGGTCCACTTTCTCTCTTGTGTGAGAGATTTCCCCCCGGTTTTTGTGTTAGGAAGGAATTTGATTCTCGAGTTCGATGGTAGCAGGTCGTTTGGGTAGTTTGATGCCCTCCGATGGAGCAGATACTCGAGCGGTAGAAGGCCTTAAAGGTCGTTGCTGATTGGTCTGCTGTGTGTTAGTCGAGCCCATTGTGCGGTTTGCTGGATAGGACTATTTTCTGTCGAAATTTTGGTTATGTGTATTTTTTCAAAGACCTCCTTGTGCATATCCTCAATGTTTCCATCGGGAATATG